TAATCTTTTCCCCTTTATTTGGTTTAAACTAAAAATAGAGGAGAATTTCTTGAAATTTAAGATGGTGTTAGGCACTAGCTGTTATCGCCTGCGTGTATCAAACTCTCTGTTAATGAATAAAAACACATGATATAAAAAGCGTGAATAATTTGTTATTGAAAACTTGATTTGAAGTTTTTTTTCCAAGAAAAGTAAGTAAAAAAACCCTGATATTCTGTTAAGTTTTAAGATAAGTTTTAGTGTAAAATATAACCCACTAAATTGATTTGAAACTAAAATTAATTAAATTTATTTTAAACACACTATTTTAGTTTTTTTTATGGTTTTTTTTTTGGTTTTTGGATAATTTATAAGACTCTTATTATACCAGTATTGCTCTATGCAAGTGAAACATGGTCACTAAACGCAGACACTCAGTGTACTCTTGGTGTTTTTGAAAGGAAAATCCTTAGAAATATTTTTGGCCCAGTACAGGAAAGAGGCCGTTGGCGAATCAGGTATAACTTTGAATTATATAGACTCTATGGACAGCCACAGATAGTACAGCTCATCCGAAGCAATAGATTAAGATGGCTTGGCCACATCTGGAGAGGTCCAGAAAAGAATACAGTACGAATCGCCACCTTTAAAAATCCTTCTGGATCTCGGGTCAGAGGAAGACCTCCAACTAGATGGCTCGATGACACTACTAAAGATCTCAAAGTAATAAAGATTAACAACTGGAAAAAATTCGAAATGGAAAGGAGGCTACGCGTGGTTGAGGCAGCCAAGGCCTGTGAGGGGCTGTCGTGCTGAATAAGAAGAAGAAGAGGAAGAAGATCTTGTTGATAAGAAATGTATGGTTTTTAAAATGAACAAATAGCTCAAATATGTATATAAAAAAGAAGTTAAATTTTTTTAAGAAAAATCGTGATATTTTATCTGATATCATGATGTTTCATCGAATATCGTGATATTTTTCCATATAGATCAGCTGTTCCCAATTTTTTGCTGCTGTGGAGCCCTAAATGATCGAGTTACTTTTAGCGAAACTTCGAGACTTGATGAATAATCTTCATTAGCAAATGTGAATATATTAATTAACAAAAGAGTATTAATTATTTTGAAAATATGTATTGATCTAAATTTTGAAAATGTTTGGTGAATGAGAGAAAATTTAAAATTTTCCATTCTATCATTTCATCAAAATTAGTCTTAAAATTGGTTTTTATGTCATTCTCAGATCTGTGTCCGGAATTCACAGATCTGGAGCTGCATCTAGTTGAGTTCCTAATATTATTTTGATGCATGCATAAACTGAAAGAGAAATTAGCTGAAATATGGTTTATATAACATAAAATTGAAAAAAGAAGAAAATGAGCGTTGAGAATGGTTATGAAAGAAACATACTTTTTCTTTGTCGAATTTGGGTATTTTTATTCCATTTGAAACACCAATGAAATTTTTCATAGATGAATATCCTTTTCATAATTCATTTATTAGATTGTCATTAGAAAAAATATTTTGTTGAAGTTCTTTCTTCGCAAGAATTTCAATTAAATAATTACATAAAAATAACGGAAATATTAAATAAGTAACGGGTTATTAAATGGGCATAAATTTAATAATAAATTTCGAGAAACATTACTAGTTAAAAACAATTCTTGACTCTCGGAACCTCTGCTACCCTTTCGCGAAACCCTAGGGTTCCACGGAACAACATTTGGGAGCCACTGCTAAACATCATAGGTTCCCAATGCGGGCTCTATTGCCCCCCAGTGGGCAGTTGAAAACTTATTGGAGGGCGGTGAGATTTTCTATAGGAAGTGTAAGAATTTACATATAGAAGAAAAGTTTAAATATCGAGTACACATAAAAATTAAATTTTATTTTGCATTGAAAAACCAATTCTTATTAAACTCTTTATAAATTACATGTTATTAAAGTACTTATTAATTCAGCAATTTATTGAGGGAAAAACTACCAACCAATTTTAGTATGAACACGATACTTAGCATGATGTTTCATACAAAAAAGTTTTACTCTAGGAAGTTTGAGATGACTTTTTTTTTCTTTTCAAAATTCAAACTATTATTTTCGAACTTTTAATTAACTTAGAGGCTGTCATTTAGATAATTTATACTTTAAGATCTTCGGAGTAGAGATACACAGGGAAATTATGTAGCTAAATAAGTCAAAAATAAAAACTTCCCCGATAAATCTCAATTTCTTTTCCTAAAACGTCACTTACACAGTCTTTATTCATTAGTTTAACTGTAGCGCGCACACACACACAGCGTGCATTCATAATATATGCCTAGAAATATCAGTTCACCATGGTGCAAATTTTCTGCAACGTTAGTAAGGTGCAAAATTGAATCAAGTTTCTGGTTCAAGTTGGACCATACTATCATGTAAGAAGCTTCATAAAGTACAATAATGTAGGGTAAACCAACCAGTGAAGGAACACTACCCAGTGAAGGAACATTTCATATATATTGATTAAAAATAAGAGTTTGAAAGTTTTTCTTTAGATTGATTGGTAAAAATAGCTTACTGCCAAACAATAGGAAGTCATCTAGCAATGTTTTGGATTACCTGGTCAAATAGATTTCTCTGAAAAAATTTTTGAATTTGTTATTATCTCTGCAACACCTTGTTTCGTTGAAAAAATTATAAGGTGAGTGTTTGTACTTATATGTTTGAAGTGGAATTAATTGCATGTAGTAGTCTTATTTTTCTCACTGTGAAAAAGAGAATTCAAAATATAGTTATTGAAGTTACGTTTTATTTTTTTTAAAGCACCATAGCATAATCAAGTACTGAGATAAGGGGGTGTTTATTCACTGGATCACCAAACGATGAAAAACCAGTGAAGGAACAAGTGTTCCTTTACTGGGTTTTTTTCTAAGTTAATGAAAATAAAAGATAAACTTTAATTTTCTTGTACCTTTAGTGATGTTCCGCATCAAAAGTATGTTAAAAATACGAAAAACAACTTCTAACCAGTGAGGGAACAGGCATGTTCCTTTACTGGGCATAGATTTCCCAGTGAATGAACAGTATGTGTTAATATGTTGACACTTTAATTTTCAATTCATGATTACAAAAAAAAGTTAACATTTTCCAAGTATTTATATGTTATAATTTCAAGAATAGGCTTGTTTTTAAATATTTGTATGGCTTATAAATTCATAAAGAGCATTAAAAAATAACCAAAATTAAGTGTTCCTTTACTGGGTGTTCATTCACTGGTAAGAGCTGTTCCTTCACTTGGTCTTCTTACTACTTGTTATTTGAACCTCCAAAACTTTAAATCAATGTTATGTAAGTTCTCTAAAAATTTTTTTACATAATTTGCAATTAGTAACAAATATGTTGTCACTGTCATTTAACTAAAATTACGAATTTTGAAATTAATATGAATTTTTAAAAAGCGAGCGAAGCTTAAGTGTTCCTTCACTGGTTAGTTTACCCTAATTCAACTTAAAACCATCTTAAGTTCGTAGAAAAACTTTTACCATTCAACACGCTTTGAAATTTCTTACAGCGAAGATAAGCTCTGTGAAGTTTTGAATCAGAAAGCTAACGTTTGCACATTTTAAACATAATTATTCTTTAGCATTTTTTATATCGATTATCAAATCGTTTGCATTATTTTTTTTATTTTATCTTTCATGGAATTCTAGATAAAAAAATGGATTTAGCTCAGTTTTTATTTTGTTCTACCGCACACAAGGTGAGCTTTCATTTTGTTTTACATCGCCTTCAATGTCAGCTTTTGTTTATATCCATAATATATATTTCTTTTTTATAATAGATATCTCTTAATTGTTTATTTAAAACAACTAAGGTAAAAGTTTTATTCGTAATTTAACTTTTAACAAGCTCAGTAAACCAAAGTGCGTTGTTCAAAACTTTAGAGCAATTTTGGCCATCAAAATAAGGTTCAAATTTGTTACAACAGTAATATGTTGCTAACTGAGCAAGTTTATTGTACATTTTAAGCTTTATTACACATTATCAGGGTTCAACTTGATAGGAAACTCTGCTCAATTTAAAATTTCTGCGAACTTATCGTGTAATAGTTCACGATCACATGACATTATGTTTCACGATTACTCGATCAGAGTGTTAAATATAATGTAGTTTTTGACTTGCCTTTCACTTTGTGGCTTACAATATGGATTACCCCTTCGTTTTAAATTATATATTTTTTCTCCAGAGAAGTAATAAAAATGTTTTCATGACTGATAGAAATACTTAGTCACCAAAAAGTGAGTTGCAAAATTATATATCACAACAAATTCCTTTTTCTGAGACATTTAAATCGATAATAAAACATACCAAAATGCTTTTATCACGATTGTAACGCATAACGTTTATTATGGAATACTACATTATTATGAGTGTTGATTAATTTTATTGGGGTGATGAAAATATTTACCAAAAGAATATAATAATATAAATGAGTTGATTCGGGAAAAAAAATCGCGAAATATAGTTAAATGTGGATACTTTTTAAAATATATTGCAATATTTAAAATACTTTTATTGGGACAAATATTTATGTTGGCGACAACTCAATCAATTATTGGGACCAATATTCGTGTTGGCGATAACTCAATCAATTATTGGAACTAATTATTCGCGTTGGAGACAACTCAATCAATTATTGGGACAGATACTTATGTTGGCGACAACTCAATCAATTATTGGGACCAATATTCGTGTTGGCGATAACTCAATCAATTATTGGAACTAATATTCGTGTTGGAGACAACTCAATCAACCATTGGGACAGATACTTATGTTGGCGACAACTCAATCAATTATTGGGTCCAATATTCGTGTTGGCGACAACTCAGAAAGAGCAATCGCCTAAAGAGGGTTCCAATAACCAATAGATTCCAAATTCAATAAGTTTCAAAATAAATGTTAATTTAAATGAGTCTCAATTAAAATTTCTACTAGACTCTTTTTCTATTATGTCTCGTGGAATGCATTACAGTAGTACTTACTTATGAGCACTGTTTCCTTTGAATGAAGCACTTTCCCATGTTGTACTGTTCGTTTTTATGACCATTTTGAAGCTGGCCGGATCCATTTGGTACATATGCAGGGCAAACTGAATAGCACACGTTGGCAAAGTATTGGGCTCAAACACTGGACTCACTACTTTTATAAGTGGTTCTTCTGTCGATACATCCACGCTGTAATACAGCATCAGACCTGTAAAACACAATACATGTACTTTATTTAAAGTGTCATGAAATAGTTAACATTTAATACTAGAAAGACGAAGGGGGACTTTTTGACCTCACTCACTTTTTTTGTTGCTCTGAAATTAAAAAAATAATAGTATTGAGTATTTCTGACTTTTCATAATTTGATCCAATTTTAGTCCTTATGTAATCATTCATCTGTTAGTCTTATAGTAACATATATATCTATTGAACCTTATACCAAGAATGACGGTTGATGCCAGAGCGACCCGTTAGGCATTTTGGTAGGTACCCCATAACCCTAGGTAGGTTTGGGAATAAGGTACTCTTTAGTAGGTATACGGTACCCAAGTTGCATTAAAATGAGTTTATTTTAGTATATTTATAATCATATCTATATCAAAGACTATATGTACTTGCAATTCATATCAATATATTTGTACGCACTTGCACTTCAAGAAGAAGAGGATCACATGTGACCTATGACGTCAGAGTCAGCTGATCATTTATAAGCAAAATGGCGTGCTAAATTTCTCCACATAAGTTAGAATGTTAATTAACGTGAAGTTAATTAACTACAGTGCCGTATCGCACATCAAATTTTTTGAAATATAATTCTGTCTCGCCCACTTCCTTTACTTAACTTAGATTTATTATTTGTTTATGTATTTATTGTAACCGTGATATATATATTTTTGTTTTGTGCACCTGGCAACTTTGAGGAATAATTAATTTTTTATGTTCTACGTGTCTTCGTGCTTGCAGCTGTGCTAAGTAAGAAATATATCATTAAAGAATTGAAATCCTTCTGAAAGAATCTTTGTGTAAGAATATAGAAAGTGTCGCTTAAGAGAATTGATACTTGACGGGCTTGGTTTCCTCGAAATACAATGGAAAAAGCATTTGCTAGCGTAAACAAATGCCACCTTTCAACAGCCAATCAGGATCGAGATACCCTCACTACGTCACTTGCCGGTATCCCAATATCAAACAAACTAACGTATAGTTGAAAAGTCTTCCGTTTAACCAAATACTTTTGCTAATCAAATTAATTCAAATACCATAAATTTCGATGATCAAGTTTCTAATATATATTTTATTAAATTAATTATAATTATATTTTAAGATTTCGGATGTCTAATTGATTACAAACAATCTGGGAAGAATCACATTAATAGCCCCTTCAAACTTTTTAGGTATATAGCAAGATTCAGTCTTTCTAATGTTAAGGCATTTAACTACATAAAATGCGCTGGAAAAGACTTATGAAAATGTATGTTTCGCTAAAAAGAAAAAGAATTAATTGAATTCGTTGGAATTCTCATAAAATATCGACGTTTAACATCTAAATTAAAAGGTGAAAATAAATAGCATCTTTCAAAATGAAGCTCTTTCTCCGAGAAAATATCACGAAATTTTTCAGCGAATCCAAAAACGTTTGCACACAACTATAAAATTAGTTTATATAAAATAATTGCACGCAAAAAAAAATTTCATAATTTTTTATTGTTTTCCATAATTTTATTTAGTAACGGTTGGCATTTTTTTTCAAATTGTAAGATGTACAAATTTTTACATCATTTTAATATATTATTTTATAATTAACAAAATATGAAATTCAAACGAAATCGGTCGAATATTTTCTGGGTAAAGTGACGTGAAAATCCAATCATTAGCTCAAAACTTATTGAGGGTGTTTTTATTTTATTTTATTTTATTTTGAGCATTGTAGAGCTTAAACTATCTTAAACTTGAGATAAATTTGTTTTGAAATAAACCATTGAATTATAATTTTTCTGATCATTTATGAATAATGAATTAAATTATGATGTTTCTTTAAATAACTAACTTCTTAAACTTGTGTAACGGCAATCATGCAATCAGTAATCGTAAAATCACAACATGAAAATTCTGACTTGCGTATTACATCTATGTTATTGTTGGTTCACGATTTTTTTTTAGATTTTATTAAAGTAATAGCTATAAGACCGACACACTTTTATTAAAAATGAACTACTAAAAAATTTACTTTAAAAATATCAAAAATTATTAAATGTTTAGAAGGAATGTTAGAAATGTTATAAGGCTAATAAGGTAATGTTTAGATAAAATTTAAATTATTTGAAAATGTTCCATAGAATTGTCAGAAAAAATTTAAATTATCTGTACATTTTCGTAAAAGAAAGTAAATAAATATAATAAAAATAGTAAAACTACTTCTGAATCTTCATTATCCTGAATCACTATTACTTCAGTAATCCATTCGAAAAACTAATAATTCATTTCATCCATCAAATTATGTTACTAAGTCTATTTTTAATAATGTTATGATTGAATGAATTGACGGGTTCGATAGAATTGGCTTAATATTTGGAATCAGCGCAGCTGTGCCAAATATAAACGATATTAGATGCTGTGACCAATGTAACGATATTAAGTGGTGTTATGAACTAAGTATGACGCGAAACAAAAGCGGGAGGACAAATAGAAGGCTTAAAACTACGAACATGTAAAATCCTTTTTTGAAAGAAGATGATCCCCTTAAATGATTACAATGAGTAACTATTTATTTATTTATTTATCTTTTAAAATGGCATTTTTAGTCTGTTTTTTGTCGAAATGTACAAGTTTAGAAACGTTATAAATAACAGGAGGTCACGTAAATGTTGTGAAAAACTTCTAGGGGAGTTAGGGTACTCTATCAGAATTAAAACTGCCTAGCAGCTCAAGCCCGGAAATGTCGTCATACGCCGCTAGGAGGCACTTAATTGCTAGGAACTGTTTCTCCGTATTTTTCTGAAAAGCTCATAATAGGAGGATGACCCTAGCAGTTACGGCTACATTTCCAGGCATTGGCCCCTATGCATTTCCAATCCTGATGATGTGCCTTAACTCCCCTAAAAGTTTGGCACATCATTCATGCGACCCTCTGTTTCATACAACGTTTTTAAACTTTTACGTTTTGAAAAAAATACATTAAAATTGACATTTAAAAGAAACTCTGTAGCTTCAAGAGCAAAACTAATTTCAGATTTAAAATCCCCACACCTGAATTGGGCAAGATCAAGTATTCATATCATTGCGACAAAAAATTTCTTTCCCCGTGTTTTCATTAGATATAACTTTAAAATTACAATTAATAAAAACAGAAATATATGTTTCATTCCAATTCAACTTATAATTCCTGGGTATCATCTTGTTTGTGAAGTAAAAGTGCTCCACGCGCAATGCGTCAACAGTGCCGCCATTCATGCTGTTAGTCTCGAAGTGATCAACAACTTAATGTTGTGGGAGCGCGTTTTATTTTGTTTTACATATTCATTTTTTCGTTCATTTCATTTATTAATTATATTTAACTTCATATTTCAACTTTAATTGTTTATTTATTTTTTGTATCGATCAGAATTTACTTCATTTTTCAATTTAACTATTTTACTTTCTTATTTATTTTTGCAGTAAACATACGTTCCAATATTTTCCGATTTGAAATCTTTCTATAGATATATACAGTGGTACCTCGAGATACGAGTGCCCTAACATACGAGTTATTTGAGATACGAGCTGTCGAGCGAGCGAAGTTTTGTTTTGAGATACGAGTGACATTTGAGATACGAGGAACGGCCAGGCAAGTCCTTCTCATCCTCGACAATGCTCCTGCTCACCCACCGAACCTCGAACATGACATCCTCGAAGAGTTCAAGTTTATAAAGGTTCTCTATCTACCACCACTCCTATCCTGCAGCCCATGGATCAGCAGGTGATTTCTAATTTTAAAAAGCTGTACACTAAGCACCTGTTCCGGCGCTGCTTTGAGGTGACAGAAAACAGAAACCTCACCCTTCGAGAGTACTGGGAGGACAACTTTAACATCGTGATATGCCTCAGAATTATTGATCAGGCCTGGCTGAGCGTTGCAACGAGGACCTTGACCTCTGCATGGAAGAAGCTGTGGCCAGAGTGAGTCTGTAGCCGAAAATTGTGCTGTGACCTGAGTCTATAGCTTCGAAGGATTCGAACCCAAAGTGCCAGTGGAGGAGGATATTGGGTCTCTGGGAAAATCCATGGACCTGGTGATGGGTGAGAGAGACGTGAACGAGCTCATCGAGGAGTACTCTCAGGAACTGACGACAGAGGAATTACAAGAGTTACCGTCGCAGCAGCATTCGGGGGTTCTGCAAGAAATTGGTTTCGAGGAAGAGCCAGAGGTGGAGGAGGTTATCTCTACAAGTGAGATAAAAGTGTTCTTGGGAATGTGGGCAAGAATTTCACAGTTCGTGCAAGGAAACATCCCGAAAAAGTTGCATCTGGTCGTGCAT